ATGGACCAATCAACAGTCAGGCATGGATGGAGGAGGGACTCAGAGTTATACCCCTGACTACTGAGCTACTCATTTCTGGTAGATTCAATGAAGAGGGAAACATAGCCTTTAGTAATGTAACCCCTGATAATTCCACCAAACTCCAATGGATAGTCCCAATCCAGTGGTCACACAGGTGGCCCTGATTAAACTAAATGGGTCATAAAACAAAACAAAACATTAGGAATCTGAGAAAGGGATGGAAAGGGGTAGGGGGAAATAATAAACGGTACTGGGGAGAGCAATCAGAATTCATTATATACATGCATGGAATAGCCAAATAACTAGCTAATGCAGTAAAATATCTTTTAAAAATTAATAAATGGAAAACTAAAGAACCAGAATTGGAACCTAAGACATTGGCTTCAAAACTATGTTTTTCACTCGTCCCTTTATTTCTTCTTTGTGAGTCAGGCCTTTTCAAACATAATCCTGGAGCCCTGCTAACCAGGAAACTCGCCAGCATGTGAAGTACGGATGTTGGGCTTGAGACAGGGCCAGTCAAGGCAGGGATGCTTGATGTTCAGTGAATAACACAGATGTATGCCAGGCACAGCTGCCACTGAAGACTGGGATTGTGGTGGTGGTGCGGATTCCCTGGAAGGAGAGGAAGCAGTCTGGGGAAGTCATATCAAGCATGTCCACGGAGTACAGTGTTAACACTATAGGACAATCAAGAGCTTAAGCAAGAACTTAGGCAATCCCTAAATTCAACTTGAATCTTTTCTGAATGCGGTTTCTTAGTCTTGCTCTCCAGCGCTGATGTTCTTAATGATTTCTTTTGGCAAAATGAAGGCTTGTCTCCCATGTTGGAGCATTTCCCAGTTTTTCTGTCTCTGACTGCAGATCCCTGGGGTATATGCCACATGTCTTGGCTTGCACAAGCAGAACACCAGTGTTGTTTTATGTAGAGATATAAAGTGATGCCAACCATTAAAGGGGTGGAGACCCGAACATTGTTGAGACCTGTTTTGTCAGCCATGGCCAGAATGATGACATCTCAGGTCACCGTTATTCCTCATTCCTTCTGATGAAATATATCTAGATTTCTCTTCTCTTTGAAGTCATTTAGGCAGTCTGCAATACCCTGGTACTTCATGACATACTTTTCCTATAGTAGGGCCCCTAAGGGGGAAAACAATGCTAATCAAGTCTGAGTCATAGCTACTATTATATGAGAGGAAGGGAGAAAATCCATACTTTTGTTAACAACCCTCCCCCCATAGTGTGAGGGCAGAAATGTTGCAAAATAGAAGGAGTGACATTTCTGAAGTTCTCGTGTCAACATTAGTATCTGTCCTTGGGGTCCCAGATGGAGAGACAGATCTTCAGGGGGGATATCTGGCTATTATTCAGTTTGTTTGTTGCAGTTGCTTGCTGAAGCCAGTCTTTGAGTCTGTAGGGGGAAATGGAGAATGAAAGCAAAGTGAAAGAGGCCTAGGAAGGAAGCAAGCATGCCATTTCCTAATGAAGGTTTCATGCAAAGGGATTGAGTCTTTTCACAGCAGAAAATGGAATCTTTAAATAAGATAAAATAAAAGGATCCTTCGGCTTGTTACAGACTCCGCAATAAAATGCAGCTTTCCTAACACTGTGTGACCTGTATCTCTGCCTGTTTTATGGGTGCTGCACCTCAAGGAACACACCCATATTTTCCCCAGTCAGTGTCTGATGATGGATGTCAAAATACAGACCATGTATTATGCATATAGCATTACCGATGCAAGGTGTTCACTTGTCAAGTTGAAGAAAGTCAAAACCGTCACATCCACTGAATCTGCAGAGCTGTCCCTTGCAATTTTCCATGCTTTTGAATGCAACTTCTGATGAAAACAGTTTATTTCTTCCCCTTCACTGTTCGAAGAAAAGAAAACAGCTAACATTTAAAACGCATGTGGTTATACGGTTGGCTGGAAAGTAGACACATTCCAAAGTTTAGGAAGAATGAACACACTAACTCACTGAATGCAACTTGGTCTGTTTGAGCTATCATAATACTCCAAAAAAAAATAAGTACAATCAGGAAATGGATACTTTTTTGTTACTTCTGAAAGTATAGAACTTGATAGGATTTTTATATAAAGGAGAGCAGAAAATAAGCTTGTGCCCTTCAAAGCCCGTTGTGCTTATATGAGCCTCTAAAAGGATGGGACAACTGTTGAGCAGCAGACATCCCCAAAAGCCTGAATCAGCCCAGCCTTGTCCCATTACTAAGTAGTGACTGTAAAATGTGATCCTATGATCACTTTGGAGTTTTGATTTGGAAACCATGCAAGTATCTTTGTACCTTTAAGTTCCTCATTTATTGGTAGGTCCATATAGAGATAAGAAACCAAAGAATCAGGCATAGCAGTAAGCACTTTTAATCCCAGCACTCAGGAGGCAGAGGCAGGAAGATCTTCGTGAGTTCAAAGTCAGTCAGGTCTACAGAGTGAACTCAGATCAACCATGGCTACATAATAGTAAAGACCTTATTTCCAAAACTATTTTTTAATTTAATTAAATAAAATAAAAACTAAAACAAACCAAAATAAATGGTATCACAGAGCTCCAGTTCCTGTGTGCTCCAGTTGGAAAATGACTTTCTGAGCAATGCAGGCATGATGCAGAGAGCTTTTGTGTCTGGCATCCTTAACAAGGTACCCAGTAGGCTTGGCTGGAGAGAAGTCTCAGCTTTACTAAACTTGACATTTCTAATCTTACCTTTTCCATAAATCTCATGATCTCTTGATAGCACTAGGTTGGTTACCTCAGGAATTCAAGGCTGGTTATTACTCAGTTCAGATGGTATCAGCAAGTGGCTTTTGTATTCAGTAGGTGTTCAGCCTAGTTGGAAGAGGGACAGCATAGGTCTAGGAACTGCAAGCAAATGAAAAAATGTGCAGGGGGTATCAAATGAGGTATCTTCCTATGCATTTCATTTTAAGATCAAGGAACAATTGCTGAAAGCCTCCATGAAGATTTATCTTCACGTCTCACAAGCCAGAACCATTTCAAATCCTAGGCCTAAGTTCCTTGTAAGCAGAAAGATATGCAGTGAGTTAGCGGAAGAGAATAGTCAGAATGAGTTTAGAAAGGCTGCGGTAACAACACACAAACGCAGTTTCAGTGGTTTACAAGAGCACATCACTGTTTCTTACTCAGAGTGTCTTCTGGGTCAGGACAGCTGCTTGAAACTGTGTCCTGACTCCACCTCCATAGTGATCCACGTCTTCATATTAGATGTGCTTTGGGAAGAGAAGGAGGAGACAAAGTCTTATGCAAGACATGATGTGTGTTTCTTTGCTCACTTTTCATGAGCAAGAACACTTTGTATATGACCATAGTTTTGACTACCTAGTGACAACTAGACACAGTGGTAACTACTTGGTCAGAGAGGGAGAACTACAAGTAGGATGCATGTATCCTGATATGATCTGGATTTTCAGGAAGGTGTCAGAGTAAGTTAAATTTTCTTCCAGTGTGTCTCCTATCAAGTCCTGAAAAAAAAAAACACTCAGAATTTATCCTGTGTTAATTGGTGACCTGCCAATAATGCAAAAAGGGTTCTGTGGTTTTATCATTTCCAGATTTTCTACTTCTCTGAATCTCTCCCCACTAGGATTCACACCTCCCGGAATGGACCGGTCATCTCCTGACAACAGCCCAGTGCATGGGATGCTGCGCCAGCCGTCCATCACGACGGGGGTCAACATCCCCATCATCACAGAACTCGGTAGGGAGCTCTTGTCAGCTCAGTGCGTGGGTGGTTTTGTCTTCCAGGTTATAAGGAGGTTGGCCTGTTCTTTAGTCCTTTGGCCATCATGGGTTTGGGGTGCAGTGGCAAAGGTCAGGTATGATGAGTAGAGACACACAGACTGTGTGAAGGACAAACTGTTCTATCTTTCCCAGGAGAGAAATAGACAGTTTCCTTTCTTCTTGCCACGATTTTCAAAGGAGCATGAGAATGGCTTTGGAATTGGGGCATCCGTTTGGGAACGGGGAAGAAAGGAGGCAAGGGCTCTTCTGGTGACTTCTTCCTGAAGGTGCCTCTTCTGAGGGCTCTGTTTCAAAGGCTCCTGAAGTTGAAACCCTGCTCAGAACCTCAGGACTGAGTCGATCCCACCTGAGAACGGATCCCCCGTGAGAACTCGGTCAAATATTTGTTTGCTCCACTGTGTAGCAACTCCACCCAGCTGAGATTCTCACCAAAGGTCATTTTCAAAAAAATGGCCAAAATATGACTGAAGGGCACAGGGTTTGGATGCTATAATCTATAGCTAATAAAACCCTACTTCTGACCTGTCTGTGCCATTCTCTGGTACCCTCTGCGAGCACAGTGCACTGTTGTCCAGGTGGCTTAGCTTGAGAATGCATCCCCTATTGTTCCCTCACTCTTTTCTTCCTCTTTTTTTCTGTACTTCCCTCCACTCCCTTTCCCTGACCCTTAACTGCCTTATCCAATTAGCTAAACCAGGCAAGTTGCCTTTGGTATCAGTCAATCAGGAAAAAAACAGTGGGACGCACATTCTAATGATCACGGAGTTGGGTAAGAAGTGCTCGCCTTCTTGACATCAGTATTTTCTTTTGTTCTGACCTTGGTGTTTCCAGCTCTCATTGGTTTTCTCCCCTTCATTTCGCTGGCTGTAACGGAAAGGCTACCCCATGGCACTGCTTTGAATGCGTTTTATTTGCGGCTCTGGTTGGAATCGACTGTCTTGTTCTGGCCTTTCCTTAATGATTTTCCCCACAGCCTCGGTAAACCTTTGATCACACCCATCTGACCTGGCAGGGCCTTGCAAGGCATCTCTGCTCTGTTTCATTTTCTGTGGCCCAAGCCTCACTCTCCCTCTCTTTTAAATCCCACACGTGCCCCCTCTCCCCCGCCTCCGCCCTGTATTCCGCTTCCAACATGCTGTCAGTTTGACTGACATGTCTTCACAGCTCTCGGAGGAAGTCAAAGAAAAAATATAAAAATTTTAAGATAAGAAATCCTAGACCATGCCTTCCCTCCAGCTGTTTATTTTTCTTTATTCTGACTTTATTTTCTTACCCCCCTCCCACTAGGCCCTTTCTCAGAAGTTATGCTTCTGAAGCCATAAAAGGCAGCTGGTTCCCAGGGGATCTTTTCTTACCAAAGCGAGATTCCAAGAATGGTGCGGAACAGGCTGGGGACCCTACCTTTTGGCCCCCACCCTGCTGATCCAAAGCCTCCCTGGGAGATTCACAGTGGATTTATCTAGAAGATAAAGCCTCCTGGTCATGCCTGCATTTGTCAGGCCTTTCCATGGTTCCCCATGACTTGGTTAATAACCCACAAAGGGCGCCCATTGGCAGGAGGTTTCAGCACTAGAGATTGATCTTCTAAATAGACATAGCAAAGGGCTCCTCAGCAGAGATGTGGGAGGAGGGGGGAAAAGCACCTGCCTTCACTTGACTCACAGATGAACTGAACACTCCATTTTCTTGGCCCCAAAATATATTTCAAAATAAGAGAGGAAGCTTTTAAGCCAGTAATCTTGCTTGTGAGATGTCTAGAAACGAAGGAATAAATTGTCCACCATGCAACCCTGCATGGTTGTTAGACAGAGCTATTTATCAGGACAAATTCACTCAGGTCAAGGAGTATCACACTGTTGCAGACAATAGGAGAGGTATCTTTTTCATGTTTAGCATTGTTGGTAAAAGCTTGGATTTCCCCATTCTTCTACTTAGAACCATAGGACCATAAAAGGCCAAGGAAACTCATGTGCCCCAGATCACTGATGAAAAATTCACCCGAGCATCTCTGGTATAGACAGCTACAGTGGCTTTCTGAAAACACCCATGCCAAAGCTTTTCTCTTACATGTGGAATCCGTGGACCATTAACTGACTAGAGTATCCTGAATTTGGTTAGTGTAAAAGGAAAACAAAAAGCTTGGTGCTCCAGATACAAGGCAGCAATTTGGTTATCAAGTCCCCGGACACTCTCGCACACCAGACTTCACCCACTTGTGCCTAGAATCAGGCCCTGTCTTCTTTCTGCTCTTAAGGCTAGTGTCTCTAGTAGTTACACTACTGTCCTCATGCCACTCCCCCTCTCAGTTCACCCCTGCAAATACTTGCCATCTGCCACTTGCCCCACGATGTGTGATGTGCGGTATTGCACAGAACTGGAGATGGGCCTGGGGCAAAGTGCTTGCTGTACAATCATGAATACCTGAGAGCCAATCCCCAGCATGCACGTTTACACTGAGCATGGCAATGTGCATCTTGTAGTTCCAGCCCTTGAGGACAGAGGTGGAAAGATCCCTGAGACTTGCTGTCCCGTTAGTCTAGCAGAATCCATGAGCTCTGGATTAAGTTGGCACACCCAGTCTCAAACAATAATATATAAAATGATTGAGGAAAACAACTCATGTTAATCTCTACCATCCACATACACCTGTACATGAACACATTGATCCATGAGCACATACATACATGAACACATACAAAGACACAGAGGCACCCAAGGCCAAATACATTTTAAGACCATAGTATATTCCAGTCCTCATCTGCCCTGAGACACCCCCTGGCAAAGGATCCTGAAGTTTCCATGATAAAGAACTTTGTAGCTGCTTAACTCACTCTCTCCCAGCTGTATTTAATCATGTGCATTATGGGGCAATGTTCTTGTCAACTCTTAGTAGCCATGTGGCTGCTATTCTGGAAAGTAGGCATGGGGACTTCCTAAAACTGGGCGTCCCCGAACAACAGGTAAGCTTTTCACTGAAACTTGCTCTGGCCTTGACACCTCCCCATAGCCTACACTGTTAGATCACTCAGGTCCAGAGTTGTTGCTCTGACTCGGGCCACACTAATAACATCGCACCATTTCTTTCTCATCTCCTTGTGAAAAGGGAAGGGCTGCTGCTCCAGCAGGAATGGTGGTACAGGCAGCCTCGGCTGCTGTTGTGAATGAGGAGAACCACAGTCTGAAGCTCTCGTAGCTGGCATTTTCTGGTTCTGGGGACAGAAATACTGTGGCCCTCACAACATACTTTCAGAATACCAAAAGACAAAATTGTTGATTTAGGACTAGCTGAGTTAGGAGAGCACTTGCTTAACATTAATAAAGCCCTGGGTTCAATCCCTAGAACTTCATCAATTGGGTGTGGTAGTCCACACCCAGAATCCCTACACTGCAAAGGTGGAGAAGGAGCAGAAGTTTCTCTAATCTTCCACTCCATAGTGAATTTGAAGTCAACCTAGGATATATGAGACATTGTCTAGGGAGAGAAAGAGAAGAGAGACAGAGAGAAGAGAAAGATAAGGCAAAATTTCAACAAATATGATTTTTAAAGTCTTAAAAAAAATAGTTATTTCTCTTATATGTATATGAGTGTTTGCCGACACACACATGTGTATGTATATTTATGTCCCTCATGTGGATCCAGAGGATAGAATAGTATGTTGGGTTCCCTGGAGCCATGGTGTGGGTGCTAGGAAGCTAACCAAGTCCTCTGTAAGAACAGCGAGTATTCTTAATCATGGCGCATCTATCTAGTACCCGCTTTCGAAAGCTTAATTCACTTTGTCTATAATTCTAGAGTATGACAGGGGCCAATACTGAAATGGTTCCTTATGTTTGGCCCACTGTGAGAGCAGTGTGTGTGTGGCATGGCAACACTTTGGCTGCGCTACAGGTGGGACTTGTCTTGTTTGGATCTGATTTGAACACTAGGTCACTCGTCGTGACTTATTACCAGAGTAGGTTATACAGTCTCCATGTGGAGTGAGGCCGCAGTTCATGACATGTAGAGACACTTTTAGTCAAACATGAAATAGGTATGGAAGCAGTGTAGGGTCAATCATAATTCAATGTAACAGAACTATTTGGAGGGTTCATCAACAAACTTTCTGTTTCTGAGAGGAGTAGAGAGAGGCTGGACATTTCCATAATGCGATAGAATTTTTCCACAGCATACCCTGGGTCCTAGAGCAGACTCATCAAGTCTGGTTCTCTAGGGTCTCCGAGATGCCTCATGAAGAACTGCATAGTTTCCTCACTTTGCAGTGAGAGCAGCATAGCTGGAGGATCATGAAATGCTTTGCCAGAGAAGTTGGTGACAAACCAGACTTGGGGCTTCTGCCCACTGTCCTGTATTTCTCTTGCCTCTGAGGCAACTGGGGCCCAAACATCATCAAATCTGGAAAAGATTTCCCTCCATTAGAGTCATTTTCTGGGGGTGGGGGGAGATTGTGTCATTTAAAATAATTCCATGCCTAGCTTTTTATCCTATTATCATTTATTCTGACTTATGCAATAAACAAGTTTTTTTAAGGAAAATTGTCAAGAAAGTTCCTTTAAAAAATTAAAACAATAACTCTACAAAGAGAATTAGCGGCAGATAGATTCAGAAAGACATCAGAGCTAGGAAACCTCATCTGTCCTCTCCCTAAAACCACCTTAATTATTCCAGAAATCACAAGTGTGCTCTCCGCGGCTCCCCACACTTCCCTCTATTACTTGCTTTGCAATATTGATCACGTCTGAGGCCAAGACAGGAAGAGAAGCTCATCTCTCATTTAATTTTTTATAAGTTAAAGATACTGGAAGGACACCACTCATCAGTCTGTGGGTGCACGTAGAAGTCTTTAGGGGCTCTCCATATGACAGGGAGGGAAAGGAAGGAAGGCATCTTGCCATGACCATGTCTTCTAAAACACAAGGAAGACAGGGATGTTTAGAAGGGGAAAGAGTTTGTGGAGACTTGCAGAGAAAGTTGAAAAACAGCCAGAGGCAGCCAGGAGCCATTCCTGAGTGTTTAGAAGGACCTATTGTGTATGGGTGCGGGTTCAGAGGCCAGGCACGCCAGGTACTACCCAGGTCCACCCTTGGGGATAGCTGTGGGTCCTTCCTGAGGGTAAATTCCTTGCCATTTACCCTTGCTGTGTTTCTGGTCTATTGCTTTCCTTCTGAATAAGTTGCTTTCTTTTCTTTGTGGCTAACTTTACCATTCTAGCATGGCTATTCATCATTGAATGATGTCCATCTATCAAAGAATATGGCTACCAAAAAATGCCCTTGGGTGTTTCTTGGTCATGTTTCTAAAACTGTAACAAGGACTGGTCAGTGCCATCAACTTGCCAGTCCTTAGCAGTTGCCATGGAGCAAGCCCGCTTGATCTCATTGCTCTCAGGGTCTTGGAAGTTAAAACAGTCCTCCTGCAGGAGCAAGCCATTGAGTCCCACTCCTCGCCAACCCCAAGATCCATCAGCAGCTTTGCCATGCTTGTTTCTTTGGCAGTAACTTCAGTGTCTTTAAGCCAGTCCCTTAGTGTCTCACTGGCATCACTGATGGACTTGTGGTGTTCAGTGCTAATTCTTCTTTTATGCCTTTTCTAGTGAATGATACTAACGTTCAGTTTTTGGACCAAGACGATGACGATGACCCTGATACGGAGCTGTACCTCACACAGCCCTTTGCATGTGGGACAGCATTTGCCGTCAGCGTCCTGGACTCGCTCATGAGTGCGGTGAGTTGTCCAGCTTCTTCCTCTCCTCTCAAGGGGTGGGATGCACACCCATGGACCCTCTTCCAAATAAGGAGACATTGGCAGATGCTTGAGCTGTGCACGGAGAATAGTAGAAGTTCATGAACCTTTCTCTCTGAAAAGGATACCAATATATATCAATCACTCAAATAAATACTGACCATAAATTCCTCAAAGTACAGGGAAGTCAGGGAAAACTATCCCCTGGTTTGGAGGATTAGAAAAGTCCTCCTTAAGGAAACAAGATTTCATAATAAGATACGAGACTGTCTCAGGTAGACAAAGGAAGCAGAGCCACAATGAGGAAGGGATAGGGAAGACATTGAAAATCGTTTTCATGGTTTGAATCTTTGGACTTAATGCTGAAGAAAAATGTGGTCAGCTTTGTGTCTAAAAGCAGTTGCCCTGTTTGGTAGGTGGAGATGGATTAGACCCTCAAGATTGGGTGGGGAAGGGGGCAGTGATGTCTTCGTAAGCATTTCTTATATTTTTGGTTGTGAGCCTAGCTTTTTTTTTTTTTTTTTTTTGAATGGCTGAACTGCCTCCAGCCCCGTAAGCATTTCTTCTAGCTGGAGAGTAGTACTGATGGGGGTGGGGGTGGGCTCCAGTAGTCCCTGGTAAACTTGGAAACATTCTGGAATAGCCCAGATGTGAACAGAATATAGAAAGAACAGTCTGCCAAGGGTGACACCAAAGTCCCTGCCTGTCACTGAAAAAGTAGGCCTTGGATGAGGACCAGGCACAGAACTCTTCTTTGCTGAAGGGCAGGGACAATGACGGATGGTAAAGAAAGGGAATTATTGACTGAGACATTAAAAGCAGTTCTGTTTTGTTTAGTAACTTGATGTGTATTCAGTGGTCATGAGATTTGTTTTCCCATTTTTTGTGACCCCCCCCAAAGTATCAATTAAAGAGGGGACCCCAGCATAGTGGCATCACCATTCACTGCAGCAGACAGCAGCAGTCATTTCGAATGGGCCACAGCGGGTACTGGAAATCATTCCCCATGGGGTCTTTATTATTACAATATGCACTTCATTTTGAAGTAGTCAAATTCACAATTTGTGAAAATGGAGCTGTGGCCTGGATAAAAATCGACCTTGTAGAACCCGTGGAACAGAGCACCTTAAACCTTAAACTATGAGCACAATTTAGAGGCTGTTTTTCCATACTACATTTCTCACATTGCCTAAGAAGGTTGTTCTCTTGAACAACCTTGAACAACTGATATGCTAATTATGCATTATTATCATATATTCATTAAAGATAATCCCAGAAGGATTACTATGTGATAAAAGATGAAGACATGGGACTTTTAGAGATGAATTGAGGTTATTCTATATTACTGAATGTAGTATAAATGTAAGCATATCTTAGTGAAATGTCAGAAATATGGTCTTAAAAATAATTACAAAATAAAATTCATCTGAATTAAGGTTGACTGGCAGCTTTCCAAGCCAGTAAGAAAAGTCAGTGTGCCCTATAGCAGGGCCCTCTTGGTTTCCTGGAATGCTGTGACTGACTGTAGGCTGGCAATATTGGCTCAGTTTATACAAACTCTTGAACACGCTGGCAAGACCAGTAGAGGCTACATAGTTATGTTCAATGAAGCACCAGATTCTTTGTAGGAGGCTGGACCGTGTCTCTTTAGAAATACCACTTTAATTCTGATCCTAATTCCAACATTCCAGGAGTCTACTCTTACTAAAAGACAAGTAAGCTATTTATGGATTTATTTCAGAACTACAAAATACGGTAAGGGCTTTTTTTAACTTAAACTTATAATATTTATGTTGACACACAGACAGTGTGTTCTAAGTAGGACCAGATGAATCATTTTTAAAGTGTATGTTTCATTGAAATAATGAAGCCAGTGCTAATTCTAAGTGATGCAATTGAAACTTGTACATAGTCGAAGGAACACATGACCGACAGCACAGAGGTCAGGCATATGACAGGGTGGAGGCGGGGCACGTCTCGGTATGAGCCATAAGGCTAACCATTGATAGCATCATTAGAGAGCCAGTTCTCAGAAACTCTGACAAATCAAAATGAGCTGATTCCTAATAACTAGTTTCAAAGGTCATCTCTAAACTCTTTTGGTACCAAACTGAAGTGTTTGGAACAAAATGGCTTAGAGTTTGTGGATGCCATTGCCTGAAAGCGATTTCTTTCGTCTGCATCCTAGCCTAGAGTAAAGGGTTCCAGGAACCTTGTACTGTTCCCCATATTTATCAGTTTTTAGCATTTGAGTAGTTGTTGAGGACCTGGAACTGTGTGACTCACCTCAGTGATACAGTCTGATCTTTCGGACCATAATGTGAACAAATATGATTTAAACGTTGGGGCAGGGCATATTAACAGGCCTACTGACAGTGCCTTTTCAAATCACCAATCCAAATCCCAACCAGATCATTCCAGACCTTGCTCTATTGTCTAGGATGAAAAATCTCCAGCTGAAGTCTGGCTCAACAAATCCAGTTAGATCCGGACTTTTTGACAAAGTACTACCTGGTGATTTCTTTGTATTCCACCGCAACCTCATTTATGAAATTTTTAAAAAATATTTATTTATTACGTATACAACATTCTATCTGTGTGTATGTCTACAGGCCAGCAGAGGGCACCAGACCTCATTACAGATGGTTGTGAGCCACCATGTGGTTGCTGGGGATTGAACTCAGGACCTTTGGAAGACGAGGCAATGCTCTTAACCACTGAGCCATATCTCCAGCCCCCCATTTATGAAAATTTTAAATCAGTTGAAAATACCAAAGCAGTACCTATGAAGTACTAGAAGGAGGTACCTCCAAACTGTAGGAGCAGAGGTCATAATGGGTGCTCGCATCCATCTATGGCCCCATCCCAAATCCTGCACAAATCACTCTGGATGTCAGTGATTCTTCCCATTCTAGCACTGCCCGCCAAGTTACCATTTATTCAAGGAGTGAATATTCTCTGAATATTACCTATCATCACTCAATTTGTTATGCTCAAATCCGCGGGGTCCCCACAAAAGCCAACAAAAGAGACCGAGACCCATATGTAAAAGCAAAGAGCCTTTATTTTAACCAAGTTTGCAAACTCGGTCTTTCCGAATGTCCATCATATTGGAATATCCGGAGAGCCTCAAGCTCAATTAGAATAGGGTTTTTATAGTAGTAGAGGTGGGGGTGAGGGCTTTTTTGAGGTTTAGGGCTCCTGATTGGCTGACATTTGTCAGGAGGTGTCCTGTTGAGGTGTGCTGGCAGGTGTCTCTATCTACAGTTCTTGGAATGCCAGGCATTTACTTTGAATGGTCTGCTTTTGGGTGGGAGTTGGGCAGTCTCATCCTGTGGTTCCTCTTGCAGCCAGGCATTGTCTCAGGATAAACTATTGAGACTCCAGACTCCATTTAAATTCATCGATGGCCAGACTCCCAGGCCAGGTGATAATGGTTGGAAGTAAAGAACTTTCTTTGGGTGGCCTACCCAGATTAGTTTATCATGGCTGGCCCCCACAAATTCCTCCTGGATTACTACTTTGCTAAAAGAATACTGTTTTGATTCTTTGTTGACCTTTTTGAAATTGATAGAGTTGAATCTTGTGGCTTCATCCAACAGATCGACAACAGAAAACCATGGTGGGAGGAATAATTATCCTTCTGGATGTGCACCTCTGAGAGGAAGGGTTCAATTGAGAAATAAAGTTTTCAGAATAATCCTAGATTGCTTCTCTCTCCCTCTCTCTTCCTCCCCCTCTCCCCCGCATAACTATACACACAAAATGAAAGAAGTTTGTCTGGTTTTAGAGCTATGTGTGAGTCTTCAGATTTTTTTTACCCAATTTCACTTCTTCCAAAACCCAACTCCTGTTTCATTTCCACTTAGACACCTGAAATAAGAAAGTACAATATTGACTCCCTAGTCACACTAGTTTCCTGGCTATGGTCCCTGAATCTCTCTGGGCCTCATTTTTGTCATCTTTAAAATAGAATAATAATCACACATGTTCCTTAACTTGTCCTTATGAGACTGTGGTCATGGTTAAAAGTGGTGATGAAGTATTTAGCATATGATCAGTTCTCTAAAGCTGTATTATAGTTATTGTTCTTAATCAATACATTTATTGGTCACCTACTAAATGACAGACATTGTTCTCCATATTACGGATTCAGGATAGAGAAGTGAACCATGGTAATCTAGAAGTGAAAACTGTAGGGGAACAATTAATAATGCCAAATAAAAAAATGAGATCTTGAATATGTGAAGCACTTGGGCCAGTGTGGCACAGGGTCATCAAGGAGAACAGAAGCTTCTGGTTCTGACTCCACCAGTCCTTTGTTTTCCACCGTCTGGGAATCAGTTGAGACCAACTTAAGTGTGATGTGAACAACTCCTTGTGCACATGTGACAGCAGAACCATAGATTTGCTATTTACGTGCCCATGTGTGTATGTATGAATGTGTCTATGTACTCATTATCTCCCCTGCACACATGCATGCATGCACACATACTCTAGAGATTTAAGACTCAGAAGCTATGTAGATAGATGACTCAGAAGTCTGCAGGAGGAACATGTCTGTGCTTTCATGTCTCATGAACTGGCCTCAGTGTCAGAAATAACTAGATTTGTATTACCAAGATGAGAAAGTGTGCTCCTCTGAATCATGGGTCCACCTGCCTTTCTGTCTATATTATAACCTCCTGAAGGGCCAGACCCTGGGTGAGCCTTATGTTGAAGGTGGAACTCTCAGCCCAGGTTAATCCAGTGCCATTCTAGAGATGCCAGCAATTTATGTTCATGACTCATCTCTTATACTCCACACAAGAGCCCTCATTTCTCCTTCTCACAAGCAGACAGACCGTCCGCAGGCACAGCCAAGGCAGATGGAGTAGCAGCAGCGTTGTCTGAGCAGCAAACAGTGGGATGTTGTGCTGGACCCAAGAACACACTCCTTGCTGCTGCACCAGCAAGGCAGATCCAGGAGAAAATAACTGAAT